GAAAGAAAGAAAGAAAGAAAGAAAGAAAGAAAGAAAGAAAGAAAGAATGAATTATGGGATTTTACATCCACAGTTCTTAAAGTTATCAAGGTGGAGAAACACTAAAATATGGTTAATAGAACTAAGATTCCATGTATGTTACAAAAACAGTGGAGAGAGGGAGGGAGGGGGAGGGGGAGAGAGAGAGAGGAAGGAAGGAAAGCAAGAAAAGAAAATAGGAAAGAAGAAAAAGAAAGATAAAAAGGAAGGAAGGAAGGAAAGATGATAGAAGATAGATAGATAGATAGATAGATGATAGAAGATAGATAGATAGATAGATAGATGATAGATAGATAGATAGATAGATAGATAGATAGATAGATAGATAGATAGATAGATAGATAGATAGAGATAGATAGATGGATAGATTGATTGATTCATACATACAAACATACATTCTGGGATTTGAAGTCCACAGTTCTTAAAGTTATCAAGGCTGATAAACATTAAAATACGGTGATGGCTAATAGAACTAAGATTATAATCCATGCATGTTGCAAAAAAATGGAGAGAACGAGGGAGGGAGGGGGAGAGAGACAGGGAGAGAGACAATGAGAGAGAAAAAGAGAGTGTGAAATTAAGAAGCAAAGAATCAGAGGAAGTGGATAAGATTCACCTCTGTTCGTTAATAAGCCAAGACTGAAAACATCTCACACTCACAACTTTTGCCCCCAAGGGAGACAGATGTGCAACACCCCCCCTCCACCACACACATACACTCCTGTACACACACACACAGAGGCACTTTTTTTTGTAAACAAGGACCATGATCAAAGCTGTCCACCGCACAAGGCAGGTTGACATCACTTGAGAAAGATCACACATGCGCGTGAGCACACACACATGTATCAGGCACTGAAAACGGGTGTTTTAAAAACACATACACAAAACCAGGGCTCCCCCGACCCACATACAAACTGCAAAAAAAAGGGAGCAGGAATTCATGGTCAGTCAGCAGAAGGCTGCATACACACACACACACACACACATGCACACCCAACCCAATTGCACACCCCAAATCCAGACATGTGCACATGCAACAACAACAACCAGGCAGGGTGTACAGGCAGGGGAGCGGTGTGTACCACCCTTCTGCCACCCTTGTGCGAGGCTCACTTTTTTTTTTTTACACACCCAGACAGAATTGGTGTCAGCTGCAGAGTCCGCCGCACACCAAATGTGCCCCACATTCGCCAGCAAAAGGGTACAAGCCTTAGCAAGAGTTCACTATAAGCCCAGATCGCCTATATATCTTGAAGCATGAAACAAGCCACAAAAATTAAAAACACGCTTGGAAAATCCTGCAAACCCAAATCTGCGTGGTGCATTGAATGGGCGGAAGAATATGTGTGTGTTTGTCCTCCATCGCCCGGAGAATATCCCCGAATAATCCCCACACTTACCGGGTGAGGATTCCCACGAAACAGTCTGGAAGGCGAAGAAGAAGGGGGAAAAAAAGCCACTCGCCAGATCTTCAGGAAACGCACAGAAGCGCTTCAGAGACACACCCAAGGCGAGAGCCAGTAGATCGATGGAAGGGGATCTCCGCTGGGAATACCGCTGGTGGGGGCCGGGGAAAAATACAGCCCCATGGAGAAAGCGGTGTGTGAGAGAGAGCTCGCGGGACCCTTCCAAAACGTGGAATGGGAAAGGGGAAAAAAAGGAGAAGGGGTTGAAAAAAACGGATCAGGCGAAGAGGCAGACGAATAGATGATGATGGAGGGATCGGGCGGAGGAAAAAGCACGGGACACTGCTGAGTGGGGGGAGGGGGGGTTGGGAAAGAGAGATGGCTGGAATATGAGAGAGAGAGAGAGAGAGAGAGAGAGAGAAGGATGGAGAGAGAGGATGGAGAGCTGAAATGAAAACTGAAGCTGAATCAGCAGAGAAAACCACACCAAAGGCACTAAGCAAAGAGGATCTTTTTGGGGGGTGGGGGGAAGCCCTGATCCCTCCCTTCCCACCCCCACCCCAGCACGGAGACACAATAAATGGGAAGGGGCTTAGTAAGGCAACAGGCTGGCTGGCTGGTGAGGAAGGAGGTGGGGACCGGGAGATATTGGGAGGGGCGTTCCCTTCCCATGCATCCCTCCCCACTCCCCAAGAGAGAAACAGACAGACAAAGGTGCGATTCCAAATATGTCTTTATTTTAATTATTACACACAAGGCACTGAGACAGGGCAGGAATGAACA